CTTCAAAATTCTGTTCACTATCACTTTCAGAATCCGATAAAAATCTTCGGCGCCTCTGTCCTCTATGGAGATTCATAAAATATCCAGTTTCATCGGCAGTCACATCATCATCCTGTGTTTCCTCATTGTCTGCAGAATCACTTCGACTTTCAGTTTGATCATCTTCTGGTATTGAAACTTCTTCACCCGAATTCACTTCACTTATTTGTCGAATTCTTTCCAACTTTCTCACTGACCGTGCGGACATATTGGGGGTTGCAGTGAAACGTAAGTCCAATTGAATGTAACAGAAATTGTCAAGATATAACTAAAACTGATGTTTACTCTGCGACTCTCAATATACGACTGCACTTCTATTTCGTTTGGCTACAGAAAACTCATTGGAGGGAGTTTTGTGAATCCCTGATAAGAGTATGTTCTGTTTACTGTTTACTTACTTACGACACGCATGTCAGGATCCGATAAATGAAAGTCATTTGAGAAGGGTATCTGAATTTAAAACTAAGGTTTTAGTTAGAAAATTGCTGAAAAATACTAAACTTCGTATGGGGTCAAATGACCCCCCGTGGTACGTAAGGTAGGTAAAAAATTTTTCGTTAGAAAAAATTAGCTACGAAAAAAACGAAAAGCGAGAAATTGAACAATCCGATGACATAAGAATTTACAAAAAGTCAAATGAACGAAAAGAATAACAATGAATGTACAATTTAAAAGCAAATTTTGGAAGGGGTCATTTGACCCCGCTTGGTACGTTTAGTGTTAAATTGCATATGTTTAATGATTTCACAACTCGGTAGTGCAGCTTTTAACATTTCAACAAAATGTTGGAACGAGTAAAAACTCCTGTCATGCTCCACAATGTCTACTACATATCTAATTTCCACCTTCTTCACTTGAATCTCCATAGTAGGTAATATGGCTACTCCTCCAAAGCGTTGCATATTTAACACATCAAGCACACCTTTATGTGCCACAAACATCTTGTCGCATGCATTACACTTTGCATGCGAGGCATCCTCTCCTTTCTCCAGCCACAATGAATACATTGGTTCCAGAAGCCACTTCTCTTGAAACTTGTACTCTGATTCATACATCTTTTTCTTGAAAACAGGAAGAAAAACAGTATGGAATCTGGGACTGCTGCCTATTAATACATAATGTATATATAATTTATTCTAATTTAATTTCTACTTCAACAGATCAATTTAATATACATATTTGAAATGATATAATTTAATAAAAAATCTACTTCTACTTCCTAAAAAAACAACTTTTTAAATTATATTTATGCAAAACTATTAAACATTTGTCTTACCTGCTTCTCCACTCATTCTGCAGGTTTTTACAACAAAAGCTTAATAAGTCGAAAAGTTCAATTTGTTCGAAATAATTCACCACACTTGGCTTGGCGTCACTTTCTTCTGGTCACGTCATATTCATCGTCGCTTCGCTAGTGTCGGTACCCCTCCCGTTCGTTACGTTGCTAAACAAACCCCTTCCCAAGTCAACTCGCAACGCTCTCCTATCACCATAGCCATTAGTAACGTGGTTTTTTATAAACACAATATAGGAAGTAGTGAACTAACGTTCCTACGCATTGTAGTCCCTCGCACCAGTAAAAGTTTTTCATTAATATCTTGGAAACTGCTAAATTCTCGAAGCTATAATTGTATATTGCGGATTAAATTTTATCTTAATCGGCCGCAGGCCTCTTTCAGAGGTTTATCCCAAATAAAATCATAGAAAATTGTTGCGGCGTCCTCGCCGGTACGATGTACCAAAATTGGAAATAATTAAAAAATGTCAATGATCTAAAAAAGCGATTTGGATAGATGGATACAAAAGCGCGAAAAAAGAACATTAAAAAATTATATATATATCATTGTCGAGAAAAATGATTGCGGTAATTAAATGTAAAGGAGGTGCTACGAAGTATTAACATGTTGAATGCCACGCCGGTTTTACAGAAATTATCCGTGGCACCACGATGAATTTTTGCAATAGATAAGTTACAGTGTATAACCATGTTTGACATGTTAATTGCGACAGGTTTGAATTGTTTGAATTGACGATGGTAATAATACCAAATTTTAGATGTTGACATTTGTTTGAAATTATATATATTTCTATCAATTTGGACGCGCCAGTCACCGGTGACCTCCATGGCGTCACCGCCAAGTTAAGTGCCGGTCACCGGTGACCCCCGTGGCATTCAACGTGTTAAATATCAACCACGATCGTACAATTTGTTTCCATCATCTACTTTTTAACGACTCTGCGACCATTCTGTTCGTTTGATTATATACAATATTTACATTTAATGCAAGAATTGCAATTTACATTATCAGAATATTTTCCTAAAGATCACTTGCAGAAATGTACTTAAAGAAAGATTTAATTTACTTCATTCAATAAAGAGAAGTTGAATAATTCTTATTTAAAGTGGGCTATACTTTTGCTCGCGAGTGTATGTATATCATGATTTTGCAGCAATCTCGAAAATAATATACTGATCAAACGGTGCAATGAAAATTTTGAAACGGTGGTATGTTTATTGATTCCGATTATTAATCACGGTCCAATGAGATTGCAGTCCCCGTTAATTTGCGATTTGTTTAGTGATTAACAGACGTTTGAAAAACATCTGTGTCGCCTATGTAAGTTACTCTTCTGAAACCAAAAGATAGGCCTATAGCCAAAAACGAATTGATGCGAGAGGCGAGGATAATCGACCGGCCGCTTCATCTAATCTCTTCCAGTTTTCGGATTCTGAATTATTATTGGCTGAGTTATGCGGTGGACAGGAGACAGGAGACGTGATTAGGTGAAGCGGACAAACGCCTCTCCTTGCCCCTCGGTCGATTCGTTTGACGATAACAGGCTTCTGGAGCACTTCGCGAGATGAGTGAGAGTGGAAGAGCGAGATTTGGAAATAGTAAGAGCGAGTAGGGAATAGGATCGTTCACACTCTCCTACTTCCAAATCTCGCTCCCACACTCTCACTCCAGTAGAGACCTATCTTTTTGTTTTTGAATTGTAGTACTTCTTATTATTAGATTTCCTTAAACTCTATATTTATCATTTTTTTTTTTTTAAGAGCGGTTTCTTCTGCGAAAACAGAAGTTTTTTCTTTATAAAGTCACCATTTTTTTTAATTATTGAAAAATCACATGCTACTATGAAAAGGATATTGTATTTTTGTATAAATTATTGTTACTCTTCATGGTTCAATCATGTTTGGTACTTATGCCACCATGCAAGATTTCAAATGAGCAAAAATTTTTCAATAATAACGTATAAATTTAAATTTTGTGATCTTGAGGCAATAAAACAGATATGAAAATAAAACCAAAGTGTTGCTTAATGTTTTCTATAAAAAACTATAAAAATCTTTCTTCTTACAGTATCTTTATATGCCGAACAAAATTTTGTTACTCAATTTTATTAGGCTTGCATGGCTGCATACTCTCTTAATCAAAAAATATAAGCATTATTCTAAAAATATAAGACCTAATATTAAAGTGGCCAATAAGTCTGCGCGGTTTTTTAAGTAAATAACACAAAACTGTTTGATATTAAACAATAACTTTATTCAACAATAATTTCATATAACTTCATATTTCTGTGTTTAAAACAATCCTAGCCTTTTGCGGCAAAAGACTGATCTACAGTACCATCTTATATCGGCATTGAAATCAAACCTTTTCCTCTTGAAGAGAGCGAAACAAGTGAAATCTGATAGTACAAGGTTTGGTAGTTTCCAATGATATGTTATACATACAAACACTAAACGCGCGCGTCATGGTGAAGAAATATAACTTCTTCGCGATTCACTAATTTTTTGATCGTTTTTTATGAGTAGCACTACTTAACTCATTTAGTTGTTAGTACACACTTGAATTAATCGTTTCGATAACATAACCTCCCTTTGATGAAGCCCTGCTTTCGATTTTACTCACGTTTACTTACATATTCAAACAGCTTTAAACAAATTTTCACGCTTAATTTGCTGAATATGTTTAGAATTTCTTCAAGTTTTCGTGTCGTGCAGTGACGATTTGCATCGACTAACGCCTTTATTTTGTCGCTATCGATCTCTACTGGTCTTGCAGAGCATGGTGTATCTTTAATGTTGAAATCATTAAAACGAAATTTGGCAAACCACTTTTGATACACGAGTTCTGATCAAACATCTTTACCGTACACATCACAAATCTTTTTAAGCTCTCGTGTCGCTATTTTTTCTTTTTTAAAATAAAACAATAAAATATATCGAAAATGCTAGTTTCGATTTTTAAATTCGCACATAATAAAAAACACTTGCACACAACTTGCACACAATTTTTTGAAAAAGTAAATTTCAAATGTACTCTGTCAAATGGATGAACGATCTTCAGGATTGAACTGAAGTTACTTACATTTCACAACGCTTTTACAGCCACCTGTCGGCAAAACCCGCACTGACTTGTACTGGCCAACCTAATACAGTAATAGGTCCTATTCCTGCACATCTCCAGGCCACAGCTTGATCCGTTAACGAGGTTTAATATAAAGATTTTCTTTGCTCTGATTGGCTGATAATTCACTGCTGAGACAGAATCCACTTCGAATTGGATGCGCAGTAAAATAATAGGGATGTACTTAGGTAGTAAGAAAAGCGTGCAAGAGTAGGTCTCATTACTGCATATACTTTATATGTATGTATAATTGCTGCTCCTACATATAAGAGCTTACTAGCAATTTAAGATTTCCTAAATATAACTGTATAATTTTCTGAATTGATGATTGTGTACTATTATTATTATCATTTATTATTCGGAATATGATTATAAATTTTGCGTTTTTCAAACTACATGTAATTGAACTTTTCTTTTAAACTATAATTAGATTTTTAACATATTGTACCACTTTATACACTCTATCCATATTTTCTTGAGAAACTATTTTTGACAAATTATAAGATCTATGATGTTTTTTGTTTATATTATTATATCCATAACTAATATCGAGTACAAAGACAAGTTGATAGATGCCATAGTGTGTCGAAAATAATTGTGCAAGTTTTACAATATTTATGATTCTAACTTTTAATTCAAAGAATTTTAATATCAGAATTTCTATATATATAAAGAGTAAATCTGAAATGAGTAGTTT